AAAGTCAAATGTACATTTGTAATATTTAGTATTATAATACCACAAAAAAAAAATTTCAGCTGTTATTACCTGACATACCGCCATAGTCAATATGTGGAATGTCAGATACACAGTATCTGTACTCCTCTGTTCACCTCTGGGTATACCCCACCTATAAAGAAGTGTCTCCCACCTTACCTCTCTCCTTTTGCTGTTGTGCTCCATGGGAGAGGTAAGAGACATTGCTTTCATAATAACTTCCGTGTTCTAGCACTGTTAAGCTCATTAAGTTCACTTTTTAGCCTAAACTTGTATAATATGCTAACATATTTCTGTGTCACTTCATTTGTGTAGGGGCTCGAGTTATATGGTCATAACTGACGGAGGATTTTGTTTTTACCTCTTGCTGTCAGTTGTCTACGGTCTGGGCCTCTTCATATCAACATGATGCAGACAACACTAGAGTCCACAAGTTACATCTACACACCCGACACAGTGGGTGGTGGTACATGTACCTTTAAACTTGGTTTGCGAGTCGCCAATGAACACAGAGAAGAACAACAACTGCAGCACGCTGTCTAGAGGGCAAAACATGACATCACGATGTTGACGTCTTTCACAGTTCCAGAGGAAAACAACAGGATTGCGCCGAGGGTCTGATCTCCGACCACCCAACACAGGTTAGACACAGCGCTGAAGGACCGTTTCCAGAGTGTTAGCACAAGCGGCTTACATCACCAACACCAAGCTTTTAAAAGGCTCCACTCTATTGTTATTGTTGTTATTAATAGTTACTAGCCATGTGAGGCAACAGTTAGCAAGTAGTTAGCGAGAACTGTTACTTGTTTTTGTGTTGTTAGCAATAGTGATGTCTGTTTGATTTGGTTGGGTCAGGGGTACGCAATATTAAATCAGCAATATTTTCTCACTACATCTCAGCCTACATAAACTACAGGTTATACCCTTCTTTTTAAAATACAAAAATGTGAAGTTATTGGTTATCAGCCATGAGGAGCAGATAATTATCGGTTATCGGTATCAGTTGAAAAAATCCAGTTGCATCCTTAAAACATATGATATAAGAAATATGATGCACTGCTGTAAAATAAACCACCAAACAGTATATATAGAGGAGTTAAACATCTACAGCAGACTTTTGCTTGTAGTGGAGTATTTTCACAGTGTGGTATTAGTACATTTACTTAAGTATGGTCTGAATACTTCTTCCACCACTGCCGACAAGGTAGAAAGCCATGGAAATAGTACTGCACCTAATCTTTGAATCTAACACCACATAACTATCAGATAATGACCATAAACTGAACAAATACTATAGGTGTGTCTCTCTACCATGAGCTGCAGGCATCGTCTGGCTGGCTGGTTAGCACGTCTCTCCAGAGAGCTTGGCTTAAACAATTACGTTTGGAAGGCAGGAGCCACGTGTTTTTACGGGAACAGTTCAGTTTTACAGTGCAGCCATAATCAGTTTATGGCTTCATGAAACAAATCTCCTTACAACAAACATACTTTGGAATACACAACTAGGCTGGTTTCTTTCCTAACACAGACGTTATTTCAAGTTAGCTGTACATGAGTAAATATACTCCGTACGATGATCCAGTGCCCTCCATCACTTAACCACCAACATAAACCCTTTCTACACCTGATTGGACAAATGTACCACCTGCTCCTCTGTGATTGTCTTTGCCTCACTTTCCAAACTTAAAAAAACATGGCAAGTATTCTGGAAACATCACATTTCTGCAAAACTATCCACCCAAAATTAATTTCTAAGTTAATCAGAGGTGGGAAATAGGCCGTGCAGTTGCAGAGTCATGCCTCATTTTACAGCAGTGAGTCTGTTTTTATCTAAAAGTTCACTGTTGGGTCCCGTAAGTACGTCAGCGAGGTGATTTAAATCAGACACAAAGCCTGTAGTGAAAACCATTCTGTCTTTATGAGGTTTGAGGAAACTGATGGGTTGCAGCTTTTTAGTTTGGAAATAAATCCTCATGTATTTGAATGACAGATTTCTTAACACTGGCCATAGATACAGAAAGGGAGAAACAAGATATATGTGAGTTGTTGTTCTGTACGTCTGCACGACACCTCCAAACAAATGCGACTGAACAAAACAAAGGTTATCATCAGCTGAAAGTGTTGAAAGGCTGTTTTCAGCGTGTCTTTGAGTCAAACATCAGACTATCTGAAGTTTTTCTACAAATTAATAATTAAGCTTTATCTTCAGTTTAAAGATCTGACAAAAGTTCTTTTGGCAATATTCAAAAATTCAACTAACTTTGAACAACGAGACAAACACATATATATACACAATCTTCCACTGTGTACTAACTGTCCCGCTATCTGGCACACGACAAGCATCCGTGACGCGGCTTGGCAGCACAGAGACGCAGAGAAGCGTCTGTATTTGCAGACAAATGCTGATCTCCATCTGAAGACTTTCATGCCCGTGACACACACTCGACAGGGGAGAAACTGAAAAAGGTGGATGAAACACGAAGAGACTCTTTCTTGTCGAGACGTAGTTAATATTTTAAAGATAGGGAGCACGTGCTGCCTAGTGCTGCTTGTGCATCCACATCATGAGAACACTGTATGCACGACAACTCTACACGCGAACGTGCACAGCTGAAGATTCTCAAGCTTGAACCTTCATTTTCTACCTCTTTGAAATTCATTAAAAACACGAGCGGCTCTAAGATAATCCAAACATAACGTCACAGTAATCACAGTGTAATTGTAAGGAATGCAATCTCTGAGCTGATCACAGTAAATTATGCTGAAATATTTCATTTAGTAATCATAACTACTCTAATAAATTAAGACCCTGTGTTTATCCTAGATTTAATGCATCAATGTGATTTACTGGCAAAACAAGCAGCAGCAGAAACAAACCCAGTTATTTGTTGTGTTTAAGCAATATGTGCCTGTCGTGTCTTCACATTTCTGTTTATTAGTCCTGTCTGAACACAATGGAACAACCAGGTAAGGTTTTCTCAACAGCTTTGGCAAAACAAAAATCATCCATGCATAAACCCCACCACACCAACACACGCTTTCATGCACACAAACCTGCAACCTTTTCCGTTGCACAACATTCCCAAAAACTACCAAAAAGATAAAGTAAAAATGATATCACATGCACACAGATCTACTTCTGTGTCGCCTGAGTCTCGTGCTATCTTCAGCACTACTGTGCTGAGAGATGATGTGTGTCTTAGTTATTCAGGTTAATGTGTTCGCCTGTGGGGCATATTCCCATTCTGGCTCCCATTGCACACACATCCTCTCCTGAACTGCTCCGCCATTACTGTTCACTCACGCTGTCTTTGGTATAACAGCCATACAGCCAAACTGCTGGAAATAAACCTCTAAACCTTCACAGTGATGTGGCATATCATTGTAGGAGTCCTCTTTAAAGCATTTGGAACACAGTTGTGTGTATCTATAGTACAGTGTTACACAGTAGGGCATTATTGTTATATTGAATACAAAACTGTAGGGTTTTGCTTAAAGCTCCACTGTGTAGGAGTTAGAGGGATATAATGACATAAATGGAATATAATAAGTGTGTTTTCTTTAGTGCATAATCACCTAAAAAATATGACTCATTGTGTTTTTCATTACCTTAGAATGAGCTGTTTATATCTACACAAGCAGTTGGTCCTCGTCCATGAAGATTGGCATATTTCACCACCATGTTTCTACAGTAGTCCAGAAAGGACAAACCAAATAGCAGCTTTAGATAGGGTGATTTGCTTTTTTGCGTTAACCACCATAGTTAGCGATAAGCAGCGTCCGCAAAACACTGCTTTGTAAAGTGAAAGTGCTTTATTCAGCTTTTTTACCCATTCAAATCACCGAGTCAGTTTTTTTAGGGAGGAAGAGACCTCTGTGGATAATTTGGGTGCTTTCACACCTGCCCTGTTTGGTTCAGTTCAATCAAACTCAAGTTCATTTACCCCCTAAGTGTGGTTCGTTTGGGCAGGTGTGATCACAGCAATCACACTCGGGTGCGGCACCAAAACAACCAGACAGAGACCTTGTTGAGGAGGTGGTCTCGGTCCGGTTACAAATGAACTCTGGTGCAGTTCGTTTGTGGTGAGAACGTGTTCCGACCTCGATCTGAACCAACTGCAGTCACATTACACATAGTTTGGGTTAAACGGGAACTGCCCATTGGTCCGACAGCCCATTATTCCGACAACCCATTGGTCCAACGACATCCCATTGTTCTGACCATATTAAACCCATTGTTCTGATGTCCCGTTGTTCCGAAATCATCATGATGCCTTGTGGTTAAGGTCTGGTTAGGTTTAGACACAAAAACCACTTGGTTAGGGTCAGGAAAGGATCATGGTGTGGGTTAAAATGAAAAAGAAAGTGGCAATCACATATCGGAACAACGGGATGTCGGACCAATGACATGGCCCTGGGTTAAACATGAGAATGTTACAGTCTTGGAGCGCTAAAATCAACCTGCGTAGTTGTCCCTCCGTTGTGACATTAGAAAATGTCACATTTATCTTGCAAGTGTACTCTTCTTCAACAGGTTGTTTACTTCCTGGATTTCTCCTGCATGGAAATTCTGACCAATCAAGAGCAGCTTTCTCACACAAGGCATTTTATCTGGTCCTCTTGTAAATGCTACCGTAGGCAATTATGCAACTTTAATTCAAAATTAGTCGCTGATTCAGGCCAAAGCAAGACAACTCTAGGTCTGAAAGCACCCTAAGTCACCCACTCCATTTGTTTTGGAGAGGAAGAGACCTCTGCAGATAATCTGGCTCCTAAATCAGCCTAATTCTTACACACTGAACCTTTCATATAACTCCCTCTGGGGAAGGGAAAAAATAATATGGCACGCAAATATAATGTAAAAATAGGGATGCATTTGATACAAACTGGAGCACAAGTTAGAGTAGGTTTCTGAGGACAGCAGAGGTGTTACTCTGAGAGAGAAGAATTAGACATCACACATTCAGCTGTAGCTCAGGTACCTGCAGGTGAGTGCTTCATGGTAGGGTTTGATGCTGGCGCTGCGGTCCCTTCGGACAGGTCCGGGCTCGATGGTTGGCAGGCCTGTGGCGGAGGTGGTGGTGGTCCATGTGGAAGAGATCCTCCTCAGAAGACCGGGGTGGAGACTCCGCCTCAGACGCTGCACACACACAGGAAAAAATACACACACAGAGACACAGTTAGCACGACTGCAAAACCCCTCTTGTTACATTTTTAAATAAATGAATAAAATCCTCACCAATAAAAAACTGCATGAATAAAATAAACACGGCTGTAATTGTGTTGGCTCACTCCCACCTGTGAGATAAGGTTATTGCTTATTCGCTTTGTCTGCAGTCAAATTGATCATCTAGATGAGACAGTTGTTCTCACTGAATCTGCCCGAGATGAAACAAATGATGCAGCTGATTTAACCTGGAAAATCTGTCATGATTTGAGGCGCTTTAATTTTTTCCTTCATTGGATCCAAAGAGAATCAACACAGTCATACTGGCAGACAGCTGTGTGCCAGCGATGCCCCTCATGGTTCATTATTAGACATAACGTCAGTATTGCATTGCACAGATACATTTCATCATAGCGACTGCGCCGGTCTGCTCCTCATTCTCTCTGTGAGTCTCTTTTGTCTCGTTCTCTCAGTCTCTTTCTTTATCTGCCTTTTCTTTGCTCTTTCTGTGGGATTCCCAGTGGTCTGTGCCCTTGTGATGCCTCCATCTGCTCCGCGCCATGCAGCAGCTTGGCACAGCAGCGCTAAACATGGCAGCTTCTCTCTCGCTCAGTCTTCTGCAGGGTGACCTAGTAAAGATCGCCTCAGAATCCTGAATGAGCCCATTCACAGCAAGGCGTCATATACTGAATGTGAGCACACACACTCATACACGCTGTTGGTGTGGGTCACTTGAAGTGGACGTTTCAGTGACCTCCATCTGGTATTACCATAACCTTAATTAAAGCTCCCCAGAAACAGGCAACTGCTCTGATTTTAGCCAACAAATTCTCACTCTGACCTCGTCACATATTGACGTGCTTGGTCATGGGCTTTCCACGTCCACATACATCATGCAAGGTGCCCTGGGTGTGTTGGTTGTTGACATTCTGGGACACTGTCTTAAGTTCTGCCTATTACATGCATTGTCTTATTTCAAAATAGAAAATAAACGCACTATGTCAGTCCGACACCGCAAATTTTTTTTTTCTTCAACAACAAACGCATGTCGTTAGGTTTAGAAAAAGAGAACAGGGTTTGGCTTTAGAATCTTACGGGATGCGAACACAACTCTCTCTCCATCCACCACCCTTCCTGCCCATCCCACTCGGACCTTAACTTTCCTCCTTGTCCCGCTGTATTTCCCCTGATGCTGCCGGGCACCGTTAAACTGTAACGGCAACCACTCACTGGGTATGAGGGGGGGTACTTCCTGCACAGGTCACCAGACTATCACAGGGCTGACACATAGAGACAGACAACCATTCACACTCACATTCACACCTATGAGGAATTTAGAGTCACCAATTAACCTGCATGTCTTTGGACTGTGGGAGGAAGCCGGAGTACCTGGAGAAAACCCACACTGACACAGGGAGAAGATGCAAACTCCACACAGAAGGGCGCCCCCACCCTGGAACCCTCTTGCTGTGAGGCGACAATGCTCACCACTGCACCACAGTGTCGCCAGTGTAAATGTATGTTGTCGCTATGTAACTGTGCAGACACCAGGAAGAATAGCTGCTGCAATGCAAAAGCTAATAGGGAACAAACAAACAGGCAACCGGACTTTCTTGAAGATGTTTCATCTCTCATCCAAGAGGCTTCTTCAGCTCTGAAAACTGAACCTAGCTCTCTGAACTGAAGATGCTTCTTGGATGAGAGGTGAAATGTCTTCAAGAAACTCAAGCAAGCCCAGTTGTCTACAATATAGCACCTTGAAATACTAAAAAAAAACTGCATTAAAATGTGCATCTAACTCTCAGATTTGAAAGTGGAATAATGGTACTATGGTATGAGTTTGCAGCACCACAGTTCTTTTCTTTCATGAAAGCACTGTAGACACACACCAAGAAGCAGCACACACACACACACACACACACATCACCACCGGCAACAGCATGGCAAAAACCAGGCCATCCTGATCCCTGCTGCTGTCAGGGCTGATTTAACTCTGTAACTGGACTCATCTCTTTAACTGTTTAAAGGAGAGAAGTGAGATTAATATAACTTTAAATATTTCATTATTAGTAATGTGTTTTGTCATTCATGTTTTCTGTTTGTACACTATGTGCTGCTAATGCAGTGGCTTTTTTTTTTTTTTGCAGCACAGAGAACATGCCCTGCGCTGGACAGAAAATGGGTTTTTGGAAAAGTGCTTGAAAGGCATCAGTATGCACAACGATGGACATCAAACTCTTAGCCAGGAGGCAGAAAAGCAAGCACAGTGCTTTCCACTCCCGCACTAACCACCTTCACTCCTCCTTCCATTCTCCTCCCGGGCAGTTAGAGCTGAGCATGTCGTCTCTGGGGAGCAGAGTCTTCATGAATGCAGCCTCACTGGCCACTCCACAGGCGCAGTTTGTCTTAGCTACTTTTACAAAGTTCCGACGATGTAATAAAACACCTGTCAGCCTGGCGATGGCTTGATGGCATGGCAGCCATCGACCACATGCCAGCTTTCCCAGACAACCAGAAGAGGTATCCTCCTCAAATAAATAACTGAATCCAAAATTGCGGTGGGGGGTCCAGTTTTGTTGACACACACTCGTCCCTCTTTGTAACCTTTTGAGAGATGCGTTCACCTTCACGTTGCCTCTCCTCTTCTACTCAACTCACATACACACATGCACTGTCTGGCTCCACACATCTGTCATGTTGACACAGCTGTGGCTATGAAAGGGAGAACAGTGCTCGGAGCAGTAGACGCGCTCTATTTTTCTTCACTCAACTCTATGAAAATACACTCCTTCATTTGATGCTAAAAGCTCTGAGAGCAGGAAGCACTCATTAGCTGAAACATGGGCTAAAAGATTAACATGTGTGTGGAGCGCTGTGTGGTGTATAAATCATTTGGCCTTAATAAAGTGGACTGCATTTCCATGTAGGGATTATTTCAGCCGTTTCCAAAAGAAAAAAATAATTCATGACTACTTTTGATTAACACTTCAGACTTTTGATATTTGGATGAAATATCTTCACTTTCATCTGGACTTCCTCGTATTGCTTATCTTACCAGTAAAGTGTAAATCATGACACTTGGATTTTATTTATCCCGTTACCTTGTGGATGGAGGTCCTCTCCCCTTTCTCGGGTCCCTCCTCTGAGTCGGAGAAGGTGTAGGCATCGCTAGGGTTAAGCAGGGGAGCGGGGCGTGGCCGGTGCAGCGGCTGGAAGGTGAGCTGGGTGGTTAGCAGGTTACTGACGGCGCGCAGTGAGGTGCAGATGTTGGGGGGAAGAGAGGGGTCAGCCAGCAGGTCTGTGATTAGTCCGTGGGCTTCTCCCATCACTGCTATGTCCACCATGACAGTGGTGCCTGATGACTGTGGGGGCACAGGGAGACAGAGAGGGGAGACATAAACATCACTGCTGCTGTGAATAATGTGTGTTGATGGTAAATAATGTCTGAGTCTGATAGTGGGTGTGTTTGTTTTATTTGGAGCAGGTGCTGAACTATGTTCACAGCTCCTGTGTGAGGAGGTAATGTGGTTAATGGATACACGAGCATCTCTTGTGTTGTTTTACTCTGCAGACCAAGAAGTCAAACTCAGTGTATTGTAAGTGTATTCACTCAAATACTATTGTTACATACATTTTTAAGGTATTTGAACTTGAAGTTGCACTTATAAATGTTTTCACATAAATAAAGGTTCATATGTCTAACAGTAAAAGTGTTGCCTATAGAAACATCCACAGAGAATTCTCTTCTTGCACGATGTAGGGTGGTGTATATCTGCTTTAGGAATTGCATGTCTACTTCCTGTAAACTCTACACCAATGTAACCTTCACCTCACTCTACCTCTGAGCCAAGCAGCCATACATAGCACACAGCCATTCATACATGTTATTCATATGGTCTAACAACTCTCCCAAATCCAAAAGCTAGAGAGCTAAAACTCAAATTTGTGATGTCATAGGGTGTAAAGTCTGGAGCTGCTCCACAGACAACGAATCAGGAAGGATGTCATAGGTGACGCTGAGGGGAATGTTCTGAGTACATGGGTACATTTTCTGTTTCAGAACTGAGAACACTACAAGAGAATAAAGCTCATTTGGGTATAAAAAAAGACAACAACCATTCTGTGGGTCCACAAAATCAGGCTCCCATTCATCGCCAATGGAGCAGTGTCTTCCAGAATTTATACTTGATGACATCACAAGTTTAAGACTCACCTGCGTGGATTCTGGCTTTAAGAGAGAGTAGCTTATGTTCACAGATATAACTGAACCATGTAAAACATAACTGAATTCTTAATTTAGGTGGTGTGCCCCTTTAATGCAGGTTTGAGTATTTTGCTCCCAGTTAGCATGAGGTTGTGGGTGTAGCTTTAACATCAAAGAGCAATCTAACAGCAGCCCTTGTTTTCACCTTGTATACAGTGATGTCAGTCCACCATGACATCCCTGTCAGTTGCAAATAAAAAAAATGCAACAGAGCACACCTCTGGCCGATCATGACAACAATCATTGGTGATGCTGACTGTGGTTGGCCCCCGAAGTCGTTGAAAGCTGGCATGGTTGTTCAGTGACCTGTGGTGTCAGACACCAATGAAAAAAGCCATTCTTTATTGTCGGCATCACCGTTATTGTTTAAAGGCACTGAAGTCTGAAGGGTGGGGGATGAGACCAACAACCATCGACTTTCACCTGGGAGATTGCTGGTCGCCTTTAGCTTGAATATAAAGCCAAACCAAGTTCTTTTTTTCCTAAACCTAACCACGTGTATGTGTTGCTGAAGGAAAAAAACGTAATTTCACGATGTTGTACTGACTTAGTGTGTTTATTTTGAAAGAGGCTGTATGCAAACTGTACATTTCCTGTGGAAACAGAAGTGTATTTTGAAAATGGACAATGCATGCAACAGGGAAAAGTTGACACAGCATTGCAGCCTGTCAACAACCAACGCACTCAAGGTACCTTGCATGGCATATATCGACGTGGAAAATCCATAACCAAATGTCAGTGTGTGATAACGTTGGATGTTGGGTAAGCTGTGCACGCTAAACAACCAGAGAGGGCAGTGAAACATTTATTTTAAGCTTGCTATTACAGTTAAATGCTGACTGCACGATTATGCAACAGAAATAAGAATCAGATATAATAGTATGTAATGATACAACACTTATGGAGGACATCCTGCCTGCATTATGAGTACTCTAACTTTTGTTAATAGTTTAAGTTTTATTAGTTTAATTAAGCACATGACTGGAATACTAGTCTTTCTTTACTCATAAAATACCCTATCACAGCAACAGCTACAGCTAATACAACAAAGACAGATTTGAAAACTACCTCTGCTTTTAAAAATTACGTGGGAGAACAAATTAACATTCATCAGGAGCTTTGTACCCTGTTTATAGAGAATGTATTATCTGAGGACAAAGAGAACTCACACAGCCATAACCGCACCATGTTCCGAGAGTGCACTTAGCTCAGGGAAAACCCAACATGGTACAAAATAAAACAAATGATATGTATAAAGAATTCTCCAAACACAACAATATGAAAGTAAGAAAACAATAGATGATTGACTTTGGACAACTATTACAGGAGACATGTTCAATCATAGTGTCGGACTGAGATCCTGCCAGGCTTTGTTAACTGTATTATAATTGTGGTATCACACCAAGCTACGCACGAGCAGGCACACACACACATGCACACTTACATCCACTCACACATCAAAGGCTTTATTCTACACCTTATATGGCTCCTTTTAGCTCAGAGAAAGCAAAAACGCGAGGAGGCGCAGGGAGTGGTACTTCACAGTCGTAGGAGTTGACATACTAGCAGCCTTTTAGACATCTGAACAACAACATTAGGTCAGAACATGTTCGGCACAGCTGTGCAGTGCTTGATGCTTAATGAATGGACTCATTAGCAATGTCTCAGCTAGAATCTGACCTTTGACTTCCTCACTCCCGACCCCTTCAGACGGCCAACAGCCCTCGTCTGTTCCTGACCGTCTGCCCCTCAGCTTTGAAGGCACCGGTGCAGTGTGAGCCGGCCTTGTTTTTGCAGGGTAAAGTGAAAAGTTCACAACCCACTCTTAATTGCTGCGCCTAGAGCAGTCGAACAACCACAACTAAACACAGGTCAGTCTCAGCTGCCAGCAAATTTATCTAATAAGCTCACGAGTTCCCTTTTCCCCAAAGAATGTCATCTGATTTTTCTCCCCCAATGTCCGTTTCACTTTGACACCAGCTACCAGGCACCCAGAATTATTCTGTTTACACTGGCTAAGTGGCAAGAGGCTGACCTGAACAACACATGTGTGAACACCTTTCATTCGTTTCCACTTGTGGGAACAGCGAGGGTTTCGCATTTTATTTTCCTAGTCATATCAGATAAGTCACTGTATTTAAGCAATTTTCCTACCGGTCTGCAAAAGGACAAAAGCTGTGTGTTCAGCGGGTGTGAGGGGCATTTCTCCACACGTGGTGATCCACACGTGATGATGACACACATTTATTGATAAATCTGACACATGACCAGCGCTGGGACTGAGCTAATCTCTTTTAAAGACAAGGAGACATCCTGTGGGACGGCTGATGGAACGTTTCTGGACAGGCGACTATTGTACTCCCCTCATTCCTCCTCTTCTCTACATCTTCACTTTTTCTCCTCCCTCGCCTCTTTCCTATACTCTCCTCTAATGCATGCTGTGACCGTGAGATGTAAACACCTGTCTCTCAGCTCATTTACAGGCTGATTTAGGAGTTTGCTAAAGAGAGAGGGGGGTTAAGAAGAATATAGCTGCTGGAGAACATCTGGCTCGTCTCAGCATCTCCAAAGACATATGCGTGCACACACAAACAACCTCTACAAACTTAACCCCTGGTTCTTACAGCACAGCTGACACAAAAGTCAAGTTAAAACATACATTTCAAAGACAAAGACTGACACACAAATATACAGCGACGTTGGCATCGTCCTGAGCGTGCAGCACAGAGAGAAACGTGCACACAGTTACACACACTTTGCAAGGAGGACGAGGTTTGCGTCACTAAGCTTGACTACCTAAAAAAGTTGGACCTGAGTGGCCATAAAAGGGGAGGGAATGATGAATGGGTTGGGTTTGATTTTGCGCAGGGAGCAAGCCACTTAATGCCCAAAACCTGACATGAAAAATAAAGTGTGGTGAAAGACTCCAGGTGCATGGGTAGCATTTGAGATTTGGGGACACAGTGGGGATCTTGCGTCTACTGAATTTGTACTATTCTTTTGGCCTGAAAAAAAAAGGCAAAACCTGTCTGCGACATAAAAGAAAAAGCCAACAGCATGCTGCTTTACAAAAATGTGCTGTTAAAATATATCTCCCTTGAAAGATCCTCCTTACAGAATGTTTGTGAGACGCATAGTGAGGGCTTTGAGCTATGAAACAAAGCTAACTGCAGGGAAGGATGAAGACTGAAACGTCCCGACCATCCCTGGCACATGTTTTTATGTATCCCTTAAAAGTTTGGCTGGAAGATACGTCTTGATGTTCTTAATCTTCCAACAATCTGCAACCTAAAACTTAAGAATCATCAATGGACATCCTGTAAAAGATCAAATTGTGACTAAGTTACATAATACCATAAGGTTATATAAGCATTTCCTGTCAGGTTAGATGATCAGTTTCATCCGTCAGCCGCAGCCACCTCTGTAGCGGCAGGCTTTCCTCGCTGAGAGGATAGCTCTCACACGAGCTCCACACAGTGACCCCTGTCTGGGAAAAAACGTACAAAAGTATCATAGAAAAAAGCTTTTGGACAGATGTTATGATGGAGCTTTTCAAATTTCTTAATATTTTTCTGAAAGCACCACGATGGGTGTTCTTTTCTTGGACGCATCTGCAGTGTTTGTAAATTCCATTAAGCGCTGTCATTAAGATCAACGTATTTTAACATTCCATTGAGGCTGTATATGTGTTTAATGACTTATTTTTCTAAATGGTTCCCTAAGCATACATGCACTTTTTTTTTTTTTTTTAATCACGTAATACACATTCACATCTGGGAACTGTCAACACCCGTCTGCCACTGGCTCACACTGAACTCTGTAGAGATTCTTCTGAGAAATAAACCCTTCAGAGTTTGTCAGGGATCACGCATCTCGCAGAGTTGTGCGGAGGAGATAAGGAAGTAACTAAATTATAGAGCAAAAGAAAAAAGGGTTGTCTCTTTGATCATCGAAACAACAGCTTCCTCGGTTTGGAAATGATTCATCATGCCTCTGTTTCCAAGTAAGATGGATCAATCTTTCTTTTTAAAGGCAACATACACACAGGAGGTGGCCGTGAAAACAGCTGGCAGCAGCAGGCCTGCACGTCGGATGAGT